AAGATTGGTAAATTGAAGGTGCATTGTGATCTTGTAACACCTGACACTGTTGCTTATAAAAAAAAATCGGTATCGGCCAAAATCGGAATCGGCAGTTCAGACTTTCAAAAAATCGGTGATCGGTGATCGGCCTGAAAATTGAAATCGGTGCACCCCTAGTATTTAGCAACCAGTAAAGCGCAAACAGAAGCTCAAACAGCAAGGCTCCGTCGGTGTCGGGAGAGAAAAATCTCCAACGCACAGCACTTTACACAGAGCGGTGCATTCACTAGCGTCGGAACAGCCACGGTGCATTCAAGAGCATAAGAACCATGAAATTTAGAAAGAAACAAGCCGCAACCAAAGAGAACCGAGCTCAGTAAACAAGCCAAGTACACAACAATGTGGGCAGCTTTATTAATAAAGGTTAATAAAGGTTGAATGAATATTAGCGGTGCACAGATAAATCGGCCCCGATTTCCTTAATTTTGGGAAATCGGCTGATTAGGGCTGGGCAATATACCGAAAATTAACCGACACCGAAATCTATAACAATAATCGAGGTCATTTTGCCCATGTCGGTATTTTCGGTGGTTTAAAAAAATAAAAATAAAAGTCGTTTGGTCTTTTTGTTTGTGTATAGGTAAGCTATGCCCATGTCCCGTTCAGACACCGTGCTACGTGCAGTCTGCAGTCACGTGACTCCACCCCATCCAGTCTGTAACAAGAAGTGAAAGAGACGGTACGGTTGAGAAGATGGAGGACATTTCGAATGTTGAAGCGGCGGCAGCAGCGGCAGAGCTGGTCCAGGAGGAAGAGGAGCAGCTAAATTTTTTTAAAAAGCGTCATCATCAGTCGCCTGGAAACATTTTGGGTTCAGCAAAGACGATACTGAACTAAAAACAGCCACGTGTAAACTACGCCAAGACTGTTGCGACAAGCCATGGCAATACATCCAACCTCTTCCAAAACCTGCAACACAACCACCTGGAAGGGAGTACTTGACAACTCAATGTGACCATTTCATTTAGAAGAGATTGTATTTTTAATACTTTGTGTTTACAGGTAAGTTATTTTATACTTCTAAATTTGTTCAGTTGTGCTTTTTTGTTCAAAAACTATTAACAATGTTCATTAAAGTGGCAATAAAAAGGTAATTATGCCACCAATATAACTGGCTGTGAATTATTTATTCAATTTAATTAAATTCAAAAATACTTTATTAATCCCAAAGGGAAATTATTTGTTGTTGTAACTCGTTTTCCTCATTTCATTAAGAGATGTTGCTGATGGCTGTAGACAGGAAGGATCTCTTGTAAAGGTCCATCCCACACTGGATCCTAAGAAACTGGCTGCAGATGCCTGATCGGTCCACCCAGACTCGGCTGGCCTCTCAGTTCCTCTGGGCCGCAGGACCGCCTGAATGCAGAGCAGAACTCCTCCCAGAGCGATGGCCACTCCTCCCAGCAGTCTGCCGAGCTCCTCATCGCTGCGGACAGCCAACTGTAGGTGCCGAGGGACGATCCTGTCCTTCCACTGTCATGAACCATGTTTCCTTCTAGTTCCAGGACCTCAGAGATCAGGCACTCGAGCACAGCTGGCAGGTAGATGAGAATGCGTCCACAGAACATCCTTTTCAACTCATTTGAGATTTGGGGCTGTAGTTGAGATATTATTTGAGCTTTTGAGATGTTAATCAGCTGCTGTTGTTGTAGAAAACTGTCTTGTTGCCATGGTTACGCATCATAACAAATGTCCAAAACTAAAAAAAGTTTCAGTAAAAATCCTTCCAGCTGCACAGCATCTGATACCAGAGGAAACAATCATCCAAAAAATGTGATTTACATCCAGAAAAAAAGGAATTAAAGTTTCCAAAAGCAAAATCTCAGAATGAAAGTAGCAGCTGCTCCAACAAGCAGCCACCTTGAGCGGTGCAATTCTAGAACTGATATGCCAGCCTATCACGTTATGTTCGGGGGTGGGGGGGTTGCAGTTATCATCCATTTATCGTTATCGAGGTGAACTGCTCAATATATTGATATTGATTTTAGGCCGTATCGCCCAGCCCTAAACAAAAGTAAAGATAATGACAGAATAAGGCAGACACGGTTCATTAATGGACTCACAGCATCTCTCAGTTTAATTGTAGAAAAACAGGCACACATGGTTTAAAGCAGCTTGATCACTTATTCTGCTGTAGTCGAGCATGAACTAGATGTTATTCTCTGCAGCACTGGGCAATGCTTCAGATCAGAACCAGGTCAGAACCAGGAGGAGATGAACATTATATCCACACCGACTCTTCATGTCCATCACATCAGCAGCTAGGGCTCTGGTCCATTTTAGCTTTCAGTGACTCGTTTTCACATGATTTTTAACCATTAACTTTCATAGCAACATCTACAGGTCAGAAAAACAAAGATTTTCTAGCTGAATGAATCCTGAAGCACGCTGCGCAAACTAATTTACATAAAGTGCAGTGAACCCAGATTTGCTGATTCGAAAATGAAAGAAGCTGACACACAAAAACACGCTGTTCTCTCAAACAGCAAGGTGCACTTTAAACCGAGTTACGTTACATGTCAAGAATTACCTTTGAGGCACTTCTGCATGCAGCCGGAATAAAACTGGAGCGGGTTAGCAAAATGACAATAGTAAACACAATGCCTGCTAGCTAGCTAGCTGCTAGCTTGTGGCTACCAAGCTAACAGCGTTAGCCTTTCATAAAGGCTGCAGCTTCAGCCGGGGTTTGACCAACTGGGCTAACTGGGACCAGAAGCAGGAATAAAACAAATGCTCACCAGGTCTCTTTAGTGCTTTCTTGTGTTTGTTCGTCCGCTACGAGTTTTTGAGGTCAGTGTTTGACGCTGCAGTCACACAATAACTAATGATCACACCCGGACAATGATCGACTCTCTGTCTGCAGCAAAACCACTGCGCACACAAGGAGGAGGAGCAGGAGGAGGAGCAGGAGGAGGGGGAGGAGCAGGAGGAGGAGCCCCGCATAAACACATCCCCAGAAGGGGCCCAGGCTCACAAAGCAAACATCAAATTAACCTAAAATAAAGTAGCTACAGAAGTCCTGGACAAGAGGTGCAACCTTCGGCTGCTTTCCCCCCGCTCAGTTTCATCCCAGTTCTTCTAACTGGGAATTTGCAGAGGAATGTTTTGGTTTAAGCCATTTATTGCTGACCTGTAACTCGTTCAGGCACGAAGAGCCCCCTAAAACTCAAAGGATGAACCTGTAGCAGCCAACTTGGTAAGAAAGTAATAATAAATTGAATATTTGGGCGGACAGCACGGTGGCACAACTGGTGGAGCCGCTGCCTCGCAGCGAGCAGGTCCCTGGTTCAAATCCTGGTCCCGGGGGTCTTTCTGGGTGGAGTTTGCATGTTCTCTCCGTGCATGCGTGGGTTTTCTCCGGGTACTCCAGTTTCCTCCCACAGACCAAAAACATGCATGTTAGGCTGATTGGTAACTCTAAATTGTCTCTGGGTGTGAGTGAGAGACTGAATGGTTGTTTGTCTCTATGTGTCTCTGTAATGGACTGGAGACCTGTCCAGGGTGTCCCCTGCACAGTGATTGCTGGACATGGGCACTGTAATGACCACACTTTACTTATGTGACATAAAGGATGCAGCTTCTCCTACTCTTAAGCATCTTTATTTTACTCTCTTACGTTCAAACGACAGTGCAGTAGTACCCAGAATCCTTTGCACACACATCTCTTAAAGTGACTAGTGACAGTACTTCAGTATTTACCATTCTTTACAGGCACGGTGACCCCCATGATCCAAAATGGAAGAAGCAGGTAAAAGATAATAGATGGATGGATTAATATTTAGGCACGATTACCAGCAGCCTGCCTAAAAACCCCAATTTGATTCAGTTTTCTTTCTCAGCTGCTCCCTTAGGGGTCGCCACAGCAATCTAACTTGCATGAAGACTTGTCACCTGTTTTTACCCCTGATGTCCTGCCTGATGCAACCACAGACCACCGAGCTACCACAGCCCTCTGTGTGGAGCAGAGAGCTGCCATTCAGGGCACCCTTGGGAGCAGATGGTGGGGGTTTAGGGCCTTACTCAAGAGCCAGGAGGAGTGGGTCAAATGAGGGTGGAGGCAGGTGTGGGTGCTTCACCTTTCCCACCCACATTTTTGATGTTGTCGGTCCGAGGGGTTGAACTGGCAACCTTCCGATCACAGGCTGTCCTTCTCTAACCTCTGCACCACCACTCCCCCAGATTTAGTTTCTTTAGTTGAATCTTTGAAAAACACAGTTTGACGCACATAAGCAGTGTTTTAACTCAAACAAGGAGAGCTATTAGCTGAAAACGTGTCTGATCATGAGGCATCTCAGCTTTTAGGTCAGGTTTTCATGGATTATATTCAATTTTTTTTATTTTTTATCAAGATTTTCAAACATTGTTCATCTGATGCAGGTACTTTTCTTTCTTTTTTTAGACTCGACACTTCTTCTTTTGCCCACCTTCCTCATTTTATTTCCCCAACAGACACTGCACAGTATGCTGTCACTGTCAAATATAAGACTAGAACATGACTTTTTAAAAGCAGCCAAAGTCCAAAGCAAAACTTTGCACGACCTTCAGGAAGTCTGGAGAACTGTTAATCGAGACTATTTGGAACAATCACGATAAAGTCTGGCTCTTTGGAAGCTACTATCAGGGGGGATTTAAAACTTCTGCGCAGTACTCAAAGACCAGCAAGCTGGTAACTAAAAATATAAACTTTGTGCATGTTTTTAGTGTTTTGGTCGTCACTGAAAAATGAATAGTCTTTTTCCATGTTTGTGCCTACTAGTGTTGTGAAACCTCTGAACAGTAGGACACAGGGATAATTTCAAAGAGTTTTATTATGATGATTTATTTCACTGCAACTGATTTGTAAGCCATAAAATTCTGGTAATATATAAACACTGCAGTTTTTCCTTCTGCCTCAAGCGTCTTCAGAAGTTTGTAACACAAAGAGCAAAAGATGGATTCTAGTAAGACATGGTCTTCATTCAAGAAGACTTCTTTGTGCCACGCCTGGCATTTTGCTGCAGGATGATGAACTCCAGGATAAGCTTGGCTGTCCGACAAGGCTTTTCCATGACCACAGAGTGGCCGCAGTTATCCAGGAGGTCCACTCTGCATCCTGGCACCGACTCTGCAATGACATTAGCCCCGGAGACGTCCACCACCTGGACAAATATGGGACAACATGTGACACTGAGGCCTCAAGTTGGAGAAAATAACAATGCATCTGAGGAAATCTGAGTTCATAACTCCTTTGAAATGTCAGAATTGTATTGGAGGCTAAAGCAGGCGGTCTTCTTCTATAGACGTGTCTTATTCTTACATCATTACCTGATCTTGTTTGCCCCATATTACTTGTAAAGGTGTAGTGATAAGATGCAAGTGCTGCTGTAAGGCATATCTTGAGGTTTCACTAAAAATTTCCATAAATACTATAAAGAAAAACAGAAAAAAATATATAGTTTTATTTGTTCAACATCAGGTATATTATGTATTTTTGTGCTTCATGCTAAATATTTCAGAGCAGTGAACTGACCTTCTTCGAAGAATGCGTTGTGAGGCTGCCTGACATCCACCAGTCCTTGAAGAATCTACACAAACCATGTAAGTTTAGTTAAAAACGTGAGTGAAGTTTTGTGTGACTGATACAGATTTACTTCTTATTTCACAAATAGAGAGTATATAATTTAAAACATGAAGACGACCTGCTGAGGGATCTTGAAGCGGACGTGGGAACACAGTCTGAACATGTCCTCCATCTCTTCAGGCGTGGTGGGGATCAGAGGGATGTTCAGGGTGTAGTTGCTGTGTTCCAGGTCCTGCAGGCGATTGTCAAACTTGGTTTCACATGGATGTTTTATACCTGCAGGATGCAGCACACACAAGAGCATATAAAAAAATAAAGACATATGTTCATGCCATGTGATGGACTTGTGACCTGTCCAGGGTGTACCCCGCCCCTCGCACAGTAATTGCTGGACATGGGCACATATGCTCGTTTTGAAAGCTGACACAAAGCTGCGTTTATGCTAAGATCACATTGTTGTTTTTTATCAGTCTTTTTATTTAATTATTTTCTGAGAACACACACAAACACAAAAAAAGAAGAAAAAAAATGCAACAAAATCCCCTCCCACCCCAGATCAGCCACGCAGGCATGAACACATCAGACTTTCAACTTAAGGCATAAATGGCTGCCAAGTTTTCCAAAACCTCTCCACAGAAACTTTCAAAGTATATCTGATCTTTTCTAGATGAACATGATACGTATATTCAAGGTTCTTTATTTGTCATACACAACACATGTGGTGCATGTGCTAGAATGAAACTATGTACACAGGGTCCCAGTTACATCCAAGAAAAGTATATAATGTAAAAAAAAAACAGCAATAAGATCTAAGATATGAACTAGGAAAAACATTAACTAAAAATATGCTTAGCACTAGTAGCATAAAAACAATAAGTCTTAACAGCAGCACGAACATGAGTCTGTGTGAGCAGGTGAGCACGAATGAACACATCAACATGAAACAGATCAGCAGCAACATTGAAACAGATCAGCAGCAACATGATGCGATTTTTCACAGTGATTATTCTGGTTAAATATTCATGAGTCTAACAGCCTCAGGGTAGAAGCTGTTCCTCAGTCTAGTGGTTCTACACTTAATGCTCCTTAACCTCCTTCCTGAGGGGAGTGGGGCATAAAGTGTGTGTGCTGGGTGGGTGTGGTCCTTCATGATGCAGGTGGCCCTCTTCCTGCATCTGGAGGTGTAAATGTCTGATGGTGGAGAGACTGACTCCAGACTTCTGTGCAGACTTCACCACTCTCTGCAGAACTTTTCTTTCTGCAGCTGTGCAGCCTCCATGCCACACGTTGATGCTGAAGCACAGGATGCTCTCCACTGTAGAAGGTATATATGACTTCTCTTATCCAGTGTTCATATGCCGGGGGATGCAGATCCTTCAGTCTGCATAAAATAAGTCTTCAGGTTAGAAGAGAGCCAAAAATCATATTCCTCTCATACTTTCTGAAGGATGTATCCACAGGGGCCACCCCAAACAGTGAGATGAATAGTGACGGGTGCACAGTTTTTCCACATATCCCAGAAAATAGACTGCCAATAGCCCAGAAGCTCTGGACAAGTCCAGAATGTGTGTAAGGTCGTTTTCACACCAGATAGTCCGATAGACTCGGTTCGGGACCAATATTCGTGACCTTTTGTTACATTTGAGCTGGTGCGTTTGCATTCACACTGCACTGTGCAGTCGAGTCAACCTGTTGAACCAACCTGTTCCCCCACTCGCCTGTGGGGGCGCTGCACCAAGAACTACTGAAAGAAACCACACAAAAACCTCTGAAGACACGTCTTCTTCTTCTTCTGTAAATAAAAACAAAGACGAAGTGGCATCAAGTTTTAGCAGTTTTAGGAGTTATATTTTGTCATTTTTCAAAAATGGACTCATCATGAGCAGAAGATGAGACAGAAGACCATGGAGAATATTGTTTTTCCACACAAGGCAGCTGACGGCTCCATATAAGGTCAGAGAAATGCGTGTTTGTTTGTCCTGCGGAGCGGGGCTCGGTCTGTTTACATTCACACTGTACTCGAACCGCGCTGGAGTTCGCTTCTACCGGACCGAGACCTAGGTTTTAGCCCGGGCCAGAGTTCGCCTTTTTGTTCCGTGACAGAGTTCAATGGTGCGTTCACACCTCCCTAAACGAACCGGACTTTCTAGAAAAACAAGCTAGAGTTCGATTAAAGTGGACTAAACAGGACTGGTGTGAATGCACCCTTATGCAAACTCACCAGCTCAAATGTAAACAAAAGCTCATGAATATTGGTCCCGAACCGAACAGAGTCTACGACCATCTAGTGTGAAAACGACCTAAGAGCGTAGCTAGAGTTTGTTTACAGTGGTTACATGCAGGATCCAGGTCAGTTTTAATAATGGACAGTTTGTCTTTGGACCAATCCAGAAGGTGCACCACCTTGAATTGAATCACAGCGTGTCTCAGACAGATTGAGGATGAGTAAATGTTCTGAATGATCTTTCACCAGACTGAGTCTGATATGAATTCCTCCAAGTCCATTTCCCATTTCAGTCCAAGCTGGTCTCATGGTATGAACTGAGCAGTGTGTAGATGTTGCTGAGGGTCACTTTAGTGTCAGACCTGCACTACAAAAACCTTAACCACAAACTGTTTAGAGAGGTACAAAGGAAAACAATCAGAGTTAGACCTCAAACAATTTCTCAGCTGTAAATATCTAAAAAAAATGTTACTTGTAGATATTAAACTTCTGTGCCAGCTGCTCAAACGAGGCAAATCAAATTGTTTTTTAACTACACCTTCAGGATGTTTGAGAACTGCTAATGTTTTGATAACTGTTCCCATTTTTGCTTGATGAAGGACTAATCTTAAATTATTTCACTTTGCATGTCCTTTACACAGTCATGTTTTCTGTCTGCATGAAATAATTTTACTTCCATTTGAACAAAACTTGGGGCAGCACGGTGGCGCGACTGGTAGAGCTGCTGCCTCTCAGTGAGCAGGTCCTTGGTTCAAACCCCGGTCCAGGGGCCTTTCTGGGTGGAGTTTGCATGTTCTCTCCGTGCATGCGTGGGTTTTCTCCGGGTACTCCGGTTTCCTCCCACAGACCAAAAACATGCATGTTAGACTGATTGGTAACTCTAAATTGCCCCTAGGTGTGAGTGAGAGAGTGAATGGTTGTTTGTCTCGTTTGTCTCTATGTGGCCCTGTGATGGACTTGCGACCCATCCAGGGTGTACCCCGCCCCTCGCACAGTGATTGCTGGACATGGGCACCAGCGACCCCCGTGACCCAAAATGGAATAAGCGGGTAAAGATAATGGATGGATGGATGGATGAACAAAACTTTGGACAGACAGTCCACTGACAAGGAGACTTTGCTGCCAACTCTGCAGAATACTTGTTTTTACTGCACTGACCTGTGTCATCATGACAGTTCACACACAGTGATGTCTACATAAACAAAAATGGCACAAGTATAAAGAGACACACAGAAACTGACCATCTGGACAAATGAGAGTCATGCTGCAGATTTCAGAGGGATAGCAGGCTGCATACACCCCAGCTACGTGTCCACCCATGGAGGTTCCCACCAGGTGGAACGACTTCCTGTTTAAGTGAATGGTTCCCACAAACTAAGAAAAATGAGGCACAAAAACTGATTTTAAATGGGAAGATTTTAGTCTCAGACAAATATTCCATAGCACCTAAATATTTAAACCTCGTATTTCGAAGTACCTGATGGATCCTTCTGACTTGGCCCTGAATGGAATAATCCTCAGTGTTGGTGCGTGTCGTCCCCTCGTGACCAGGCATGTCCACACACACAATGTGCAGATGTTTTGGTAAATACTGAAACGACAAAAAGAGGAAAAATTAAAATTACCTGCTGGATAAATTGAAGCGAATAAAGGTCAACTTATTTAAAAAAAAAAACAATCACTTGAACACATCGATCTAATGAAAACTTTATATGCATCCATAAACTAGACAAGCTGCAATTGTTGCAATATGTAGAGTGAATGCTGAGGGCTGAATGACCAAAAGCTGCAAAAACAGAACACTAGCTGGACCAGCTAAAAGCTAAAACAAGCTATGCTAGCTAAAAACTAAAGTAGCAAAAGGCCAACTAAATGTAAAAAAGACTAGCGGTAGCTAAAAGTAGGATAAAGGCTAGCTAAAAACAACAAAAGACTAGTAAAAAAAACCTAAATGCTCCTAAAACCTAAGTAGCAAAAGGCTAGCTAAAAATAATGTCTAGCTAAAAGCCAAAAGTACCAAATACCGGTAGTTAGAAAATAAAATTGCAAATTGTTGGCTAAAAACATTTTTAAAATGGTTAAAAGTAACAAAAGTTTAGCTAAAAGTATCTAAATAGTAGCTACAAGTAATAAAATGCTAACTTTAAAACAAAATAGGCCTATTTTTAGCTGTGTTAGTGAAAAATGTCATATGGGAACTTCTGACAGATTCGTTATGAAATTGTTTCATTTTGTAACAATGAGCTGTAGCTTTGGATTTGTCCAACCTTGACCACTGTCAGCCACGTGTCTTTGTGAGCAGAGAAGCCATGAAGCATTAAGATGGATGGTCTCAGCCCAGGCTTTCCTCTGTAGGAGTAGCAGAAGCGATAACCTCCACAGTCTGCAGAGCGCACCTGCAGACCCAAAGTCCTCCTCCAGTACCTAAACACAAATAGAACAATGGGCCCAAGAAGAAAAAGACATGACAAAACTTAAAATGAGCCAATTTACCTTAAATTATTGCCTAAAAGCACATTAGAGTTTTTTATAATGTATAATTTTTTTTCTTCTTCTTTCAGCTGCTCCCTTCTTCATGACTCGCCACAGCCAACTAACTCGGATGAAAACTTAGTAATTGTTTTTATGCCAGATGCCCTTCTTGACACAACCACAGACCACCGAGCTACCACAGCCCTCTGTGTGGAGCAGAGCTGCTATCTAGGGCAACCAGGAAAGCAGATGGTGGGTGTTAAGGGCCTTGCTCAAGGGCCCAGAGTGGGACAAATTAGAGGCAGGTGTAGGTGTTTCACCTTTCCCCACCCACATTTTGATGTTGTTGGTTCGTGGGGGTCAACTTGTCGACCTTCCAGTCACAGGCTCACCTTCTCTAACTCTGCACCACCATTTCCCCTTTGAATGCACAACACAGCAAAAGGATTTATATAACATTCTTATAACAGAAATAAGACTTTTCTTATGTGTTTATTGTGGCATGTGTGAGAATGTCTTTCAAAAGTTCACAAATGTATCTAAAATGATGCTTGTTGCAAAGTTTGTGTAGTTTTAATTAAAAAAAAAAAAACTGAGTTTAAACATTTTATAACCTGGTAATCCTCCACTGCGTATTTCCTTCCAGTAGCTTCTTATTAGGCAGTGAGGGTCGAGACTGTTTTCTTTTAGTGGAACAGGGCACCAACCTATACCATACCATCCATCCAGCCATCCATCCATTATCTTTACCCGTTTATTCCATTTTGGGTCACAGGGGTCGCCGGTGCCCATGTCCAGCAATCACTGCGCGAGGGGCGGGGTACACCCTGGACGGGTCGCAAGTCCATCACAGGGACACATAGAGACAAACGAGCCAAACAACCATTCATTTTCTCACTCACACCTAGGGACAATTTAGAGTTACCAATCAGCCTAACATGCATGTTTTTGGTCTGTGGGAGGAAACCGGAGCACCCGGAGAAAACCCACGCATGCACGGAGAGAACATACAAACTCCACCCAGAAAGGCCCCCGGACCGGGGTTTGAATCATTTGAACCAGGGACCTGCTCGCTGAGAGGAAGCAGCTCTACCAGTTGCGCCACCGTGCTGCCCACTATACCATACCATACCAATTTATTTATAGAGCACTTAAAACAGCAACAAGGACAACCAAAGTGCTGTACAATCGAAACAAACAAGCACAGCAGACAGGAAAACATAAAATAAAAATATAGATACAAAAAGCAGCAGATAATAACTAAATGGACAACACTGTAGACTACAAACAGGATCAAAACAAATCACACCGTGTCAAAGGCAAGAGAATAAAAGTGGGTTTTCAGGCGAGACTTAAAGACTGTGAGTGTGGGAGCCTGCCTGACACGCAGTGGCAACTCATTCCACAGTCTTGGACCTGCAACAGAGAAAGAGCCCTGTCACCTCTGAGCTTATGACGGGTTTCTGGAACTGAAAGGAGCATCTGGTCTGCTGACCTCATAGATGGGACATATGGCCGTAGAAGATCAGTGAGATAAGATGGGGCAGAACTGTTCAGTGATATAAAAACATACATGAGAATTTTGAACTGGATCTGAAGGTGAATGGGTAGCCAGTGCAGGGAGGCCAGAACTGGTGTAATGCGCTCTCTATGGCCTGTACCAGTTAAAAATTGGGCTGCAGCATTTTGGACCAGGTGTAGTCGTGCAATGGAGCACTGATTGATTCCAAAAAGATGCATATTGCAGTAATCGAGCCTGGATGTTATGAATGCATGAATCACTGTCTCAAGATTCTTTTTGGATAGTAAGGGCTTCAGTTTAGACAATCGCCTCAGCTGGAAAAAACAGGATTTAACAATCATGTTTACATGACTGTTAAGTTTCAAGGAAAGGTCCATTATCACTCCCAAATTAGTAACTCTTTGTTTCTCTAACGGGACTAGAGAGAAAAGGCCGATGCAGTGGTTCATGAACGTGCCATTGTGATGGAACAACATGACTTCAGACTTCTTCTCGTTGAAACTTAAAAAGTTTAAAGCTATCCAGTCCCGGCAGTCAAGAAGAGGTTGAATAGAACGTGTACCTCTGTGCCTCAGGGGCAAGTAAATTTGTCAGTCATTGGTGTACAAATGAAAGGGTATATTGTGTTTGCGGAAAATAGCACCTAGTGGCAGCAGGTATAAAGAAAAGAGAAGGGGACCGAGGATGGACCCCTGTGGTACCCCACACTGAAGCGCTGCCGATGCTGAACTAAAATCTACAGCAGGGACGTACTTCTCTGTTGTCAGGAATCTTCAAGGAACACAATGGCAATTCAAAACCAGCAACGTGTTAAAATTTAAATGAATAAATAATAAACCTCTCCATAAAACACAAACAAACCGCCTTAATGTGCTCTCCACCTTACCAGTAATACACTTTAATGAGTGCAGACGGCCAGAGAAGGAAGGATGCCAGAAAAGCCAGGATGGGAAGAACTAGTGTTCCTCCAGCAATAAGAAACAGGTTGACTACATCCAGATCAGCAGCCATGGTTGACCTGAAAATACATGAAATGTGATCGTTACACACATGCATGAAGTGTATTGGCAGAGAGTGTATCTAATAACACTGACGAATAAAGCTTTCCAATTTAAAAAATGGAACAACTTACTTTTCAGGGAGTTTCTTTCTTTCCTTGTCCCTTGTCCCACATGGAAACACGTCAAAGTTCTTTCACTTGTGATTCCAAGGATGCTAAGAGAGTGGGCTTATTTATTTTTTGTCCCCTCAAGAGTTGTCCTGTGAAAAGTGCAGTTAACTTTGTCAGAATCTGTTTGTGCTGGTAAAACTCATTGATTATCACTCATCAATGGGGAGAACTGGGCCACAAGGCGATGCGGTCAATCTTTTAAAGGGAACGCACAATTTAATTATACTTCGCAGTGAGCTTGAAGTCAAAATATACAACAGGAAGTAGCAACAAAAACACAAGTTATAGATTTTGAGACTTAACTTATGAAGTCATCACTGCAGTTTAAAACAGAATTGTCAAAATCTGAATGAATGGGCTCAAAAATAAACACTTTTGTCTTCATAATATCCTCCAAACATCTTGTGAGTGTTTCACAAATGCAGTGTTTATAAAATTGGACTGTAAGAAGAATTCACTTTCTAATGAACCCAAAGTTTCTAAAGCATCACACTCAACCAGGATGGTCAAAATCAAGCCATAGTTTTTATTCATATCAGAGTGAAGACCAAAATGTAACCACTGGGTGTCATGATAGAGGCAGGAAATGTTTCTCACAGATGCTGCGTCCTCATCCGCAGACTGAGACCAAAGTTGTTCAGACTGTGAGACTAGAGTTGTTCAGACTGTGAGACCAGAGTTCTTCATCAGTCTGAGCTTTATGGGAGAGTGGCAAAGAGAAAACCACATTTGAATAAAACTTTTTAAATCTTAACTGGGGTTTATTTAGATTGCTTAGAGCAGAGGTTGTCAACCTACCCTGTAGAAATTTGATTTCAGTTTGACATGATATATATATATATATATATATATATAAATATATATATATATATATATATATATATATTTATACAGTATATAACCTAAATACATAGTAAATTTCTGATTGGCTAACTTTATGTTTTTTTCTCTTTTTTTAAACAGTATTAAACAGCTCACACAGACATGTCTCAACCTTTTTATCATCATAACCATATCAGAAATGCACGATCAACAGTAACAATCCGCTGCAGGTTCTTCTAACATGGCGGTTTATGTTGTTTTGCTGCCAGATGCATGTGAATAAGCAGTGTTTAATTAGAAGTCATCTTAATATTTAATTTGTGTTGCTTGGCTTATAAAAAGGTGATTTTGCTGGTTTGCAAAATGTTTATTTAAAATCATGATTTTTGTTGTTCAGTGGCTTCTCACCTTGCAAAATTATAGTACACTAGTATTTTTGCATAATTATCACTTTTCTTTAACATATTTTTACTGGATTGTAAGACAACAAAATAGAACGATCATGGGAAATTAATAGTTTTTGCACGGCACTGTATCTCAAATGCAAGAATGTTTGATAGTAAATGCAAGCTTTGATATACTGGTATGTAAATTCAAGAATATAAGGCCTCTCATAAAACCACTGGACTGCAGAGTAAAATGTCATCCTGCTGCACCTTTGATCTGCTGCTGATGACCTACATGCAAAGTAGAGCGGAACAAATGGTCATGGTATCTGTGCAAAGAGGCTCACTGCATGGGAACATCTCATATTTGGGTTTAAGTCAATTTAATTCAATTCAGTTTATTTATATATCACCAAATCACAACAAAGTTGTCTCAGGGCACTTTACAGAAACATTCACAAACATAAAAGCCAATTAGTAAAGTTCTCTATCTAAGGAATCCAGCAGACAAGTTGAATCTTGGCTTCGTTGCAGTCTCCCATCCTGAGCAAGCACAGTGGCAACAGTGGAAAGAAAAACTCCCTTTTAGAGGAAGAAACCTCCATCAGAACCAGACTCAGGACAAGTGGCCATCTGCTTTGACCGGCTGGTTTGAGAGGACAGGAAGGAGAGACAGACGAACACAGAATGGTAGGTCCAGGTACAGGTCCAGGTGAACCTGAAAGACAAAAAAACACATGTTAATGATAGAAAAAATAATTACAAATACAAAACAGATTAAGCAGAGTAAGTAAAGACAGTAGCAGAGTGAAAAGTGTGGTCAGTTTGTCCTCCAGCAGTCTAAGCCTATAGCAGCATAACCAAGGGACAGCTCAGGAAACCCAAGCCGACCCTAACTATAGGATTTAGCAAAAAGGAAAGTCTTAAGCCCAGTTTTAAAACTGGATAATGTGTCAGCCTGTGAGAGCTTTTTTATATGTTAGCAGAATATCTTTCCAAGTTAAATAAAATTATTCAACATTAGTAGAGCACCATTTACTCTCCTGGTTTCTAGATGCCTGCTTTAAAGTACGTAACTCAGAATTGAACCAAGGAGCCAGTTTCCTCTGATTGATTACTTTCTTTTTCAGTGGAGCAATTTTATCAAGTGAAGTTTGCAGTGAAGTTGTAAGATGATCAACTAGATGATCTAAGTCTCCGTTCTCTGATGCATTACTCTGCAAGACAGAGGAAAACGTTGATGGAAGATATTGTTTAAATTTGGTTAAAGCATTTTCTGATAAGGGGCAGCACGGTGGTGCAACTGGTAGAGCTGCTGCCTCTCAGTGAGCAGGTCCCTGGTTCAAACCTGGTCCAGGGGCCTTTCTGGGTGGAGTTTGCATGTTCTCTCCGTGCATGCGTGGGTTTTCTCCTGGTCCTCCAGTTTCCTCCCACTGACCAAAAACATGCACGTTAGACTGATTGGTAACTCTAAATTGTCCCTAAGTGTGAGTGAGAGAGTGAATGGTTGTTTGTCTCTATGTGGCCCTGTGATGGACTTGCGACCCGTCCAGGGTGTACCCCGCCCCTCGTACAGTGATTGCTGGACATGGGCACCAGCGACCCCCGTGACCCAAAATGGAATAAGCGGGTAAAGAAAATGGATGGATGGATGAAGTTACTAAAGGTAAGGACAACATAAAGTCCAGACAACAGCTCACCCTGATGGAATCTGATTACTTTTGTTGGAAGTAAGTACGATCCACTAATGGGCCTTTTCCATAGCTCCTCTTCAGCACTCATCTCCCCGGCTCCGAGCTCCGCCGGTCATCGCGAAAGATCCTCCATGATGCCGACTCGGGGCTCAGGCTCCGGATCCCGGCCTTGTGTGCTCTGAAATCCGCTGGTCACCACGGAGGATCTTACAAGCTGCTGACTCGCAGAAGGCCATTGCCCGGACCCCAGCCTCGCTGGCTCATGAAGGCCGAGCCCCATCACGGCTGACGGGCGGACCGGGATGGAGGGTGAAAACAATTTTTAAAAACCTTTTTATCAGTGAAGATTAAAAAATAATAATAATAAACGGTGCCGGCTTTATAATGAAATCCTATTTTCACTTTAACGACTATTAAATAATGTGTTAAAGTTAACTCAGCTGAAAAATCATAAAAAGACACAAAATTATTGGGTCTCAGGAATATTTCCCTCTAACATGTTTAAAGAAGAGATGCAGCCTTTAGTTCAAGTTTATTCTAACACACAGATGTACAAATCAAAAAACAAGAATTAAACTTTAAGGCAAAGCTAAAAAAAAAAAAAAAATCTGAACAAGAAACAAAACCTCACATCTAAATTGAACAACAAAAGTATACACAGTGAGTGCAAATACATCAAATGATGAAGAAAATGTATAAATATTTAAATCTAGATTTCTAAAAAAGTTAAGTCTGGTCCTCTGGACGGGTTCAAAAAACACAAGGTTTCTTCAATTTTTTGTTTTTTGAACCCGTACAGAGGACCAGATTTAACTTTTTTAGATTTTTCTACTTGAATTATTGAGCATGCATCAGTATATTTGCAGTTTGTCCCACTTGGAACCCCAGAGAAAAGGGTTCTGAAAAAAGGGACGGGTTCCATGAACCGTTGCTAGTGGAAAACCCTTGGAACCGTGCCGAGTCGAGTCGAACCGTGCTGTACTGTTACTGGAAAAGGGGTTAAAGTTAGTTAGTCTACTTTATTGTGCCACCGCTTTATATGTAAGCTTACCTAGTTATTTATTTTAAGTTTAGCCCATATTAACGTAAAGTGCTATGTGTTGTCATCATTGTACTTTGTATTTTCCCACATGACAAAATGAGTTCTCTGCATTTAACCCATCCCATGTGAGATACACCCAGGTGGAGCAATGGGCAGCTATGTAGGCTGCCCGGGGAACAATTACGGATTAGGTGTCTTGTTAAAGGACACCATGACATGTGGATATGGCAGAGACTTGAATCTGCGACTTTCTGGTTTCAAGTCAGCTGCCCAACCTCTACACCACCTTGGCCTCCTATTAGAGTTATCTTCTCGTCGGGGAATCGAACCCCCATCTCCCGCGTGCGTGACAAGCAGGGATACTCACCACTATACTAACGAGAAATTAGTGTTAGGCAGTATTTCTTTGTCTGTAGTAGTATGTCATATATGGATATATATTCATACTTTTTCACGAGTTCCTCATCTTTCTGACTGTGT